AAACCACATGTTTTAGGATTCTAGGGCAGCATCCTCTATAATTCAGTGAGAGAGGTATCCTGGTGAGCGATTGCGCTATAATATTATCCAAAGAAAGTGTTTCACGAATGAACCGCCATTGTTCCAAATCGTGCTTTCCGGTCTCTGGATCATCGTTAAAAGGATGTTCTGGTACGCCATGTATGAAGATGGTGTTTAGCCGGTATTGCTTGCTGTGTTCCTCCTCGGTATTTCTTTTTGATTGTCGCGCGCTCCAAATGATATTAGGATAAATACGTATCTCACTGCATCTGTGTTTTAGTGCCTTCAAGGAGAGCAAAATTTTCCTACCTCAGGGGAGTATTCTAATACAACTCCAATAAGTCTACGTTCTCCAGTGTGTGGCGAGTTCGGATGACTAGTAATTCGCTCTGTACTAGCAACATACAATTCCAGTTAAATAGGGTATTATGCATACGAAAAGACAGAGTAACGATGGGTTGACCGCTAGGACCGCTGCTGACAGATGTATTCATGAGCAAATTAGCGGAGTCATTAGCGTATTACCCTATTACGGCCGATATGTGGATGATATATTTTGTGTGACAGACAGTCAATGCTGTACAGAGCGAATTCTATCCCTCTTTAACTCAGCACACGAAAACACTAAGTTTACCCTGGAATCTGGACGTCATGATACGATGTCTTTCCTAGACGTACAAATTACCAGAAGATCAGATGGGTCGGTCCAGCGCAGGGTGCACAGAAAAGCCAGCTTTGCCCCACTAAGTCAGAAGCGGAACTTTATCAGATGTTTAACCGAAAGGGCAAGAAGGATATGTAGGGAGGAAACGCTTTCGGACAGCTGAATTTCTTAGCTACCCTTTTTGGGAGAAACGGCTATCCAAAAATGTTTGTTCGGAGAAATATAGAGTGCCGACAATCAAGAGCTAAAACCGATTCGGTTGAGAAAAAATTGATTTGTCTGTCGTTGCTGTTCAAAAGGGATGAAATAGCGCAGGCAACGTCTAGAAGGCTATCCGACGCCATAAACCATACCTACTACGCAGCAAGCTTGCGGCTAAGAGTTACTTCAACACCAATCGTAAGGCATCAATTCAAGGACAGACTTCTTCGGTCAAGTACTTCCTTCGCTGTTTACTTCTTCACTTGTACATGTCGAGCAAGTTATATCGGAAGAACAACCAGGAGACGGTCTGAGAGAATCCATGAGCATTGCCCGAGTTGGCTGTGTGCAGGCGGAACTAAAACAGTGACAAGCGCCGTGTTGACACATCTAGTTGCTTTTAACCACCGAATCGATAGTCACCAAAGTTTTCAGCCAATTTACCGCGTATCGCGATGGTACATACGAGCGGTAAGATGTCGCCTATTAGCAACAGCCCAAGCGATCGTCATCCGTCACTAGAACCCAGACCTATGTACACAAAAACAATTCGTTCAGATTCTCTCCCTTCCTTGGCCCCCTGTTACAGTAACCCCTGCTGAGAAGCATGCAACTGACATGCCATTGACCGTTTGTGAACCAAGCACTTGACCTTGTCATTTAGATGAGCTTGACCTCTAAAGTTTATCCTTTGAACTTTACTCCCGCCTGATGTTTTAACTCATTTTATTCTTATTAGTTGTGGTGTACCAGCCTGACTAGATCCACCGAGAACGAGCTTGTTCGCTGATTTGTTCTGATGTCTACTTCTGGGATATTTGCTCACTTGTTTACTCTTTGTCCCTTTATTTGACGTAATGTTGTTTGCAACATAAGAGGTCGCAGCTGCGGCCTCCCGGCGAACTTTTGCAACAAGCTCTGCATATGTAACTGCTGTTCTATTGGGCATTGTCTCGACAAGAGATATTTGTGCAACTGGTACCAAGGGTTGGTGTGCGGCTGGCTAGTGGTATTTACTTAACCAGACGTTTCGAGTGGTGCCTGATTTTCGTTGCTATGGGTACTGTTCGACTCTCGTAGGTGCAGTCAGTTTTCGCCCAGCGTTCTACCAAATTTGGTATGACAACGGAGACGGGGACGTGTCTGATTTCGGTTCAGGGTACGCGGATTTTGCAGCATTCCATTGCTTAGAAGTCGCTACGCTTCCGTGGTGAACACTCCCTTTCATTGAGGTATTCTTATCGTTTATTCTCTGCTCGGCTTCCGCGGTTAACCGGTCGCCCTGCAAGCAAGCACTTAATGAGTGGGATGGTGGAGCACGCAGTACAGAACCAAAGTGCGTCTTGGGAGCTTTTTCGCTCTCGTACATGTTAATGAGACGCATTTGCACATTTCGAATGATACGATTCCAAACAGTGCGAGCAAGCCAGACCGATTTTAACTACTCCATGACATTCTCTTAACCCGCAATTGCCTTTCGCTTGGAGCATTTTCGGATTCGCATTGCTGCCATTCAACGTGGTGTCGTTACCAGACCTAATGAGTTGGTTAGCGTTCTGTACATTTCCAGCTTGGAGGGTGGTGCACATCGGTCAGGCGAGAGTGGAGGTTGCAAGGTCCATAGGTTGATGTTGTTGTTGATTGATTCGCGTTAAAATTGCCTCTCAATGTTGCTGGATGGCTCCATCAATTAACAAGCCAGCAGAATATTTGACATAAACGTGGTCGTCAACTGTGTTATTCCATACGATACCATAGGATATGACATCAAACTGCATTGGTTAGTTAACAATCATCTATTGATGTCCACTCGCATGCGCAGTACGCTCTGCTACTCATCTGTAATCCACGGTTTCTCATCGAAGCAGTGCTGTTTATCTATCAAGTTCTGGCTGTCGGGGCCGAGTAGGAAAGGCTCAGTTACTATTCAAAATAAACAACGTTGGAAAAAGTGCAGCTACCTATAGCAAAGTGTAGCCCTTTTTGACCGTTGATTCACAGCCTCCCTGACCTTAATTCTAATGAAACTGTCCGATCTTTAATAATTCCATAAAAGACTAGCCCGTCACAAATTTCAAAATAAAAATAACGGATAGTATTTCTCAGTGTAAGCTATGCTCGGTAGTTTCACGTATGCAGATTATCCTACCGAAATGTTCTTTCTTTCCATTTTGAAACTGTTCGAGTTACGAAATGACATGCTACCATGAAGCTGTGTACATGGCATCTCGATATGGGCACGTACACTTTACCACCATGTTTATTTCCAACCTCTGCGGTCGCAATCCAAAAAGGTTTTCATTAGGGCCGACTAGAGTACGCAGTTCACGCTGGGGTTCGGATAACAAGCGATGTACCTCTTCGTAGTTTGTTGCCTTATCAACTCCATTATCAATCGACCTCCTAACTTACCCTAAAGAGATACAACGATTCGAATAGTGAGCAACCCACGGCTCGCGGTTGGATGCAGAGAGGTAAAGCGCTAGTCTGATCATCGTGACTCTGGTATAGTATACTGTGAACAGACATTTTTGTCACGCTTATCACAGCTGTGACACAAAAGCTAGCAGTGCGTTGCGTTCCAACCGAAGCGTCATTTTGCGGATAGTTATTAGTACTAATCCTTCATGTCTTTACGAAAGTCACGTGTGAGTCTACATATGCAAATACTGTTTGTTGGATCGGGTAGCGTTAGGTCTTCACATGGATGATTGGACCTTATTTCCTTAGATGTTTTGTATGTCACATGAGGCTCGGCGAGCATGATACCGTGTGGACGATGTGTACGTCAAACACTAATTTCTAGCCAATTCCAAATCCGAAGGATTCAACTTAACTTGGAACCAATGGATACCTTTACTCAAAACAGACTCATGACTTTCGACAGAGTCCTCGCTTGAGTCAATTGTACTCCTCAATGATAATGTCCATTCGGGTAATCAACCATACCACTAGCTTAACCGTCAACATAGTTGGTCACATTTAGACAGAGAGCGCACCCGAGAAACCTCATGAATATCCGTTTTACTCATTTTTGTCTGTTGAACTACCCACCAGATGTTTGTGTTGCGATATGCAAACACATAGATCACCGTTTAGTTCGAAGTGAGCCTCCGTCTTCTGGATTTTTGGGAATATTTCCGGTCAGGTTTCTTTTCAGTTCGCTTTCTTAGGCATACGTAGTTGGTACTGCACTTAGATCTTCACAACTGACAATGTATACCAGGCCGTAAGCGTTTCCCATTAACGCCTGGCGGAATGACGAACTCAGTCGTGGAATGCAGCGATTTGAGAGTTAAACACCGAAAACCGTTCTTTACATCCGGAATTTCTCGAAAGATCTTGTTCTTTCCTAGTCCATAAAGGATGGGTCTATACTATACTGCGGAAAACACGAGGACTTTAGCTGTTGATGTGTGCCGCAATTTCAGCTAATAAACATTTCGAGACGCTTTAAGTGCTCAACCGATTTAAGATATATAAACTGCTGTTAGGTTCACTGGGTTCCACGGTCTTCTCTCTGTTGGATAAGTACCGCACCTGCGAACATATTGCTTAGTCTTTACTGGTGTCCAATTCTTCTCCCCGCACCTTTACATGAAGCAGGTCACTTAACGCTACAAGCTGCATGTAATCCCGGTGTCCAGCTCTGGTTTCTTATGTACTCCGTCGGTCGCATAGTGTGTGTGGATGAAATCATCTCTAGTGTCAACAGTCGCGATGACCTCGATTTCAGACTGTGCCCAGTCTGCAAATACTACATGGGACACCTCCTTTTGTTGCATAACTTAGGTACACCCATTAATTCATCGTTTGATGCAGTACAAACAATAAAATCAAGCTAACCAGACGCGACGACTACTGAGTCCGAGTAATATGGGAACGTCAAACCAAGCATTCTTATTGAATAAGTTGTATATTCAACTCATACGTAAAGCCCATGATAGAATCCATGGGTTGGGGCACAATGCTTCAGTGTTCTCAAGGATGAGTGTTCTCAAGGATGAGTGGGTACGTCGGATCCTGTGTCCTCGTACTTCCCTTTATTTACTGTACAAGTAACTGTCGCTAATTTCTTTAATCCCAATTTTCTCACCATTTCATTCAAACACAGGATGATACCACCGGAGATTACAAACGTATGCTACTGGCGTTGGTTGGCGAGTAATACTACGGCTCTGGTTACAATGCCTATTTGCACCAATGACCCACCATGTCACTTCGCTTGTGAAGTGTCTGAAGTTGCTTTTCGTATCTTTAACTTGCTTCATTCCTTTTGCTTCGCTGATGTTCTGTTAGCCTCTCCTGTGTTTTAATATACATTGCTGATCATGCATTTGTGTTCTGTACGTAACGTTAATTATAGATTAACTATCCCGCTTGTTTCACTTCAACAGTGTTGTCAACTTACAGAGCACTACATCGTTTTCCAGTCACATGCACCAAAAATATACAAGTGCTGTTTGCTCCCCAGGATGTACGCATTTGCGGCAGCAAAAACTCAAGCGTGTGTTAAATACTGTGCTGCATCTTTACTGAGGGACCTAGAGCCAACGTGTGCGAACCCTGTGCACTGCCTGAGCGATCGAAACCGTGTGGATCGAACCAGAATCGCTTTTATGGATTACATAAAATCCCCAATACTTACGTTCCATTACTGCAATCCTCGGCATGGCTGACTCCTCCATTCACCAAATTGTCAACTAATTTAAGTAATGTCCCAAGCAATTCTTCAGGGTAATTGTATCTCACACAGTGTGATGCTTTCGAATTTATCAAGAAAGTTTGAAAACTCGATGTGATAAGGAAGTCGAAGCCATCTTGGACTTTTGAATAGCTCTTCTGAAAACCCTCCTATCCGGATCATGTGCCAGATCTTTTCGAAAGTCAGCCGAAAACATCACCAATATCCAGTAAAGTATGTAGAACATATAGTTGTACTTTGAGCTCTCAACACTCAGTTCATAATTAACCTTATTGATCTTACTTACTAACAAATGGACCCCCTAGTTTCCAAACTTAGTGCCCATATATTTTAATCCGAGCATACTTGGACTCCTACCACAGACCCATAGGAGAGACGTTTTCATGATGAGTCGCTAAACGTCGCAGGTCAGCATGGCAGTGGAATATGAATCAATCTATGTTACAGCTAATCCATTTGTCCCAGTGAGTTTGCCATTCGGCGTGCCCTACTGACGCGCCCTGAAATGATGCAACGACGGTCCAAATCGTTTCTTGGACCATGGTGGCTGCCAACTAACAGTAGCCATGTCAAACCGCATGTGGAATTTATCCAACTTCCAGCTGAATCACTGATCAAAAGACGGTGATTTCTCAGGCTAACTCATGATACTATCGGTTTTTAACGATTCACAGAAGGAACATATAGATCGTGGGACCAATGCTGTCCTCCCGCAGGCAGGAAATGTGCATCACACCATATTTCAAAGGGTTAATTGGCTACGGTAACTGACACCATCCGCAGTGACCAGTAATCCTGAATACCATCGATAAGAAGACGAATCACGGGGTATATCCGCTAACTACTTAGAGGGAGACCGTACCCCCGGAGAGTCTCCAAGGGAAGAGACGGCCGTCTAGTGCTCTGCTAAGTGCGCCTTGTTTGTCTGAGTACTCGCTTTTGAAGCGTTTGTAGTTTGTACTTTTCATAGCCACTACATACGATTATGAAAGTGAATAGGAGGGCACATTGACTGCTACGTTAGTCACTACCGTAGCATGATAACGGGACTGCGCTGCGGGAATCGACACGGCCAGGACAGCATATGATGTTGTGAAACTGGTATGGCTCCACATAGTTTCCCTGAGCTCGGAAACACTCATACCATGCAGCGATACAAAATACGCGAGTAACACAAGAGTTCTCCTCATGGGTGTAGCTGTTATATGTCAACACAAAATCCATAAACTCTCCCTAACGTTCCGCAGAGACACGGTTGTACCTATACTTGCAAACCACACTGGTCTCAACAGAGATCTCCTCAGTGGTACTACAATAACATAGAAACTCAGGTGCCTACTGATATTCGCTTTCCCCTGAACTTACTACCTTACTCTCCTCTGCTATTGAGTTGTGAATATGAACGCGTAGAAGGCATGTACGCCTGTGGCTAAGTCAACAAACGAAACTATGAGTAAGGTCATCTAAACTTGCCTGTGCACGCACCAGATGACCAAACCGTAACAACTTAATTAGCTACTCTATGCGTGGAGTACCATCGGGGAAAAAATTAATCCGTTTCCACTCGGACAGTTAAACTAATTGAGAAGTTTATAACACATGAACTATTCGTTTTGTTTGCAATGTACAAATCAACTGCATATAACATCATATCAGAATCTATGTTTATGTCCCTTTCTGGACACTGGCCAGTAGCATCCCGCGAGTCAAAACGAAAACCTGGACAACTTCAAAAATCTCCTACTCCTGAGCCATGGTTGGTGGCATCCGGTTCTGGATTGGGCTGCCACTGCGACCCCATGGGACAGACACTGGACTCCTGCGTCGACTGAGGGGTCATAGGTAGCTTGCACTGCACCACCCACAACTTTATCCACACACCCCATATTCAGTGTGACAGCTTTCCACTGGATATTCTCCGTTGCACAATCATTTATCACGGGTAAAAAGCAGTTACTTGACTGTTCCCGCAGAATAGTAGAGGTAAGAGTACCATATCAAAATAGATGTGAGTTGCCTTTTTAATTATCTATCGAACAACTGCGCCACTGAATAACAGCAGTGTAAAATAGCAACTGAAGGCAAAGAATAAAACAAACAGGGTCAGTTGTAGCTGATGTATTCCGTGAGAAAATTATAAACAGCGATACTCACTCATGTACCGCCTCCTTAGATTTATGTGACGTAGAAATCCCGTATGAGAGCATGCTTAACATATTCCAAAGCAGCAAGGGTTAGTTAACAAAGTGTTGGGGGCCAAAGGCAAGATCCAACCGTCTTTTTGAAAATTTCCAAGGTGGGGAGGAAACAACTAAGTTTAGGAGAGAGTTCGAGGTTTGGCGAATCCGAAATGAAAAATAGTTCCCGCCCGCATTCCAGACGGTTGGATTGTTCACTCAGTTTTAAGCAGTTACCTCTAAGATTAGCATTTTGGCTAAGTCTCAACATGTGACTGCATATGTTATTAGGGTCACACACTATTTGCTACAGTAATATGAGATCGCCGCGCAGTCTTCGGTAGCGGCCACTGAAAACTCCCATTGACTTCAGCCTTTGCTTGTAGGACAGATTTCGTAGACCTTTGACGTTCTTTGCTGTCCTGCTTTACGGTGTCTCTACCACCTCAGGTCTTGTGTTTATGTTCCCCACCGGTCTTGCGCTGTGAGCGGTACAATTCGTCTGGCTAGCGCAGTCATGTTCAGCTTGCGCCGACGGCACCTGCTCCACTCGTCTGTTGTCGGTTCCGTACGCTCACCTCGCCAGTTAACTGCATACTTCGTCGTCTGTCGTGGCTCGTTAGCGAGTGCATGCTGTTCGCTCACCGTTCTTCTGGCTAATCCTGCTCACCTTTGTCTGCGATCACGTTGCCGTTCGCTGGTGCTACACTGTGAATCCCGTCGTACGTTTCTTGCTAGCGCGTCTGTTGCCATTGCGCCTGGACAGTCTTTCGTGACTTCCCGTCATCTGGTTCTGTGCCGATTTCGTTCAACCGAATTCTCAGATGCGATTACGGATACTAGAATTTAACTTAAACACTAAGTTGTAGAAGCAGTTAACTTAAGTGAGCGAAGGTGTTTGCTCAATAGTCTTCGTATCCTTAAGGAAACTACTGCAACGCTATCTAACATCTCTGGAGAAGGGCTCGGGTTCAATGTTAACCCTTTAATACGCATCAGTTCACCTGGATATGTGTTGTATTATAGTTAAGATGGACTATCATCGAAGCAGATGAACCCTTACCATTACTTCTCCGTGAAACAACACCATCACCAGCAACACTGCTCCAGTATCGAACACCCAGTTAACGAGGTTACAGAATATGGACCAATGAGTCATCCGACTTGCCCTTCCTGCTCGAATTTTTCCAGGTGTTCCTTGAAGCGAACGCCAGAAACGCAAACAAAATCCGGATAGCTTACGTAAACAACAAGACGCAAAATCTAGCTTTGTTCACGATGTTTCCGAGCTCCAGACATTAAGCGAGCTAGAGGCCAAAGCGCATGACTGGGATGAATGGCGCTTTATTCGTGAAGTGCTCTCATTCGAAAAGGTTATCGTTAATTCGACATCAAGGTTACTGCTATCACCTAACTACAAAGAGTGTGGTCCCCGTGTGATGAAAGTAGCACTGCACTCCAAACTGATGGCAGAACATGTGCTCAAAATGTGACACAAAAAGCGTAAAACGCTGCCATCCGAAATTCGTATAGAGGAGATAGGCACCGGGCCCCAGATAGACAATGTAACACTGAGCAAGCAATTTAGCAATACCATTCTGTCACCGTGTAGCTCAGAACGGAGATAATGCCAAAACACACCGGCAGCTGAAGGAAGACAGGATGGTCAACCAGTTGTTGGTGCTGAGAGCTCTGTACAACAATCTGAACTGGCCCTAGGGCTTGCGTCATCTGTCTTTCAAAAAGCGACCGGCAGCCTACCCCGCAGGGGTGGGCATAGACCCTCACCGGAAGCCAGCATTCACAAACATACGCTTCTGACCACCGATGCCCTCATCCGCCTGTATACCAATGCACACGGTCTTCTCAGCAAGATAACCGGACTTCGTGTTCGTCAGGTCTCCACGCCTTGGGAATTAGTTATGGACCCCAAAACATGGCTGAACACGAAGATCACGGATGCTGTGACTGTACTACCCGACATGACTTCCCTACACAACGATCGATCTAGAAGAGGAGGGGAGTGCTCCCGTATTATCGATCCGACCTGCATGTTGATTTCATTGAGGACCCAGAAACGAAAGTCCCATGCTCTTTGGTGTCGTATGCACCTAAGGCGTGGTGATATGTATTTACTAATACCAGTTTACCGTCCTCCAATGTCCACCTTGGAAATGGATCAATGCCTAGCTTCTGCGATGAAACGAGTGCTGGCACGACCATACAGTCACGTCCTCCTGGCGGGGGCTTCAAGCTGCACGCAGTCAAAGTTCCATCACCGCACAG